AACGTAGTCGATTGTTATAGCAAATATACGTTTGCTTCATTGACAATCCCACCAAAGAATATGATATGGCGAAAGGATTGACCTTCCTTGAAATTCACATCTGCCCTGTGACCCAAGGGCACTCGTGGCAATATGGTCGAGTGGTTAACGTGTCAAGCTCCCATTCTGCACTGTCACGGTTCGAATCTCACGGGTGGTGTTGATAACACCGATGCGAGGTCGAAACTGCAGTCAACCCTGGATGAGAACAACTTTTGAGAAAGCAAGGCAATATGAAATTCAATGGAAGCGTTAGCTCTACTCATATCATTTTGGGAAAATTCTACTACCAGTTTTTCATCGCCTTAAACGAAATAGGGTGAATATCTCTCATATTATAATTCAAAGTCATATATCCCCGCTGAGGCCTCAGAATGTGTTATCAAACGCTAGATGCTAACCATGGAAAAATACTCTCCGAGTAAACGAATACAATTGATGGAGCTTAGTGGTAACTGGTAAGATAAGAAGGGCGCGAAGTAAGAGGGGATTCGGATGAGAGTTGCAATTAGTTTCTATCTGAAAGGGCTAAATCTGATCAGTATTTCTAAGGAAAGAGAAGGATGTGATAAAACTTCACTAGTTCCTCCCAAGAGTGCTCACCTGGAGTAGCTTAGCCTAAACAATTTATAAATTGTGACATAAATGTAATTATATGCGAGGATAAAAGGTATAATGTAACAAGACAGGAGAAGAAAAACCAGAATCGCTTAGCAAAATGTTGGTCAAGGGAAAGGCTACTTGTCTCCAACTGGTTATAATTTGGCGCTTAGACTGGCAAGCCTGTGAAACGTCTGGGAATCTGTCGAGTCCATGGTCTGGCTCTGGAAATTATCATGACTTCTTTCTCGGAGGACTCATGACAAGATGCCTCCATCGAGGTCTCCCTTATACGACGATCAAGCTGCGGAAACTACTTTGAACCACCCATATACAGTGAAATACTAGAGACTAATACTAGTTTTGCTCACAGTTGTGATATTATTTTCTACTTGCTGCTTATTTATTTTTCAGGCTTGTCTTCTGCCGGTCTTTTCATGTCTGACGGACCGGGTCCCAACACCACTGACCTTCTTCAGGCCAATCAATTGACGATACGTTCCGTTAACGGCTTAGTAACTGGCTTCACTGGCCCGCCCGGACTGTCTGCTGGAGGACTAACTATGACTCCTGGTCTGGGCTCGGCCATTTGGCCGGATCCTCGTACGGGTATCATATCTGGACAAAACGGTTCCGGCTCCGGATCCACAACCTTGGTGGGCAATTGTGCTGGTTCTGCCACTCTGGGCATCGGTAGTTCCGGGCTTGGGTCCATGTCTGGCGCAGGAATAACATACCCAGTTGGAACAGGCTTGCAGTCTAGTCTTTTGGGGATCGCTAGTCCAATCTGTGGTGGTAGGATTCATAGCAGAATGCCGGCTCTTGCTAGAGCAGCGCTTCGCGAAAAGATTTATGCTGGTATTCTTAATTACTTCAGGTTGGTTTCAGTATCGTTATGTTATCTTCTATCTTTCATAAACCTTTCTCTGAATCATTCCAATTCCACCTTTCAATAAAAATTATTAGTCTTTCATCTATTATGGCTTATTAGCCA